CTGTAAGATCAACAGTTTCAGATGGCACACATCAGTGAGATCATATGGTACTAACTTCCAGTTCCATCCATGTTGCCACAAATGACAGGAAAAAAGGCTAAGAGAAAGGACTTTGAATGTTTTCATTACAAAGAAATAATATTTGAGGAAATAGGTTTACCTGATTTAAATGTTACACAATGTATATATGTATGAAAACATCACAATGGTACAATTTTTATGTATCAATAAAAATAAAAAATAAAAATTATGTATGTAAATATATAAATAATTAAAAACATATTTCTATGTATGTATTTATATATTGGAGCATAAGGTAACATATTCTTTAAATATATATTTTAAATTCCTTTTAATATACAGTACATGCTTTACATAAATGTATATGATATACACCTATATTTTAAAAGTATTAAATGAATCAGCTGCATGCATACATTATATATTATATATAAATCAACATTTACTATACATAGTATAGGATATATAAAACATTACATTTATAAAAATATGTAAAAAATGTACATATATATGCCTGTGTATATTTCCTAATAGAACTTAGTTTGAAAACTTAGTTTGAAAGCTACAGGACTTGAGGATAGTAAGGAAAAAATTTATAAATGTCTTTTCAAATAGAAGGTTCTACACCAGTTATTGGCAAACTTTTTAAAATGGAAGAGCAGCTCAACATCACAAGATCACTAGTACAGTCTTTTTCGCAATTATTCAACTTTGCTGTTGTGGCAAATGCAGCCACACAGCACATATGTGGTGAGCATTTCCATGTCCCAGTAAAATTTAGTATGGACACCAACATTTAAATTTCATAATTTTCTTCTTTTATTTTGTAACCATTTAGAAATATAAGTGCCATTCTTCGTGTAAGAGATATAAAAAGCAGTGGGGTAAGGCTACTTAGCTCCAATCTATAGATTCTAGCCATCTGATGTAGCCTTACCCTCAGGATTACTGCAGCAGACAAGGGCAGGTCTTGGGGATGGGGTGAGTTAGGCAGCCAAAGCTGTCAGACACTCAGGCAGTCCATGAGCACAGCTAAGGTATATCATCCCTATGGCAACAAGGACCTTCCAATAGCTCTTTGCAGTAAGGAAACATGCATGAATCTTGATTTATGCTTGAGCCTCAAAATCCCATCTGTCTTACCTCCCTGCATCTAGCACATTTTGGTCTAGAATGTCAGCTCTGTGGTGAACAAAAGACAGAGGATACGCCAATATTTGTGTGAGCTTTCTGTTTCCTTATCTGCCACATTTGCATCCGTAACACTAATAACAACAAGTATAGAATTTTACAAGTTCTTAATGGGAAGAATGCTACATCAAGATGAAAAGACATGGCTTCCAATCCACAGTTATTACTAATATCCGAGTGACTTGCAAAAATTACTCAGACTCTCTGGACATCAATCTACTTGTTTGTAAAAGAAGGATTTTTGAAGATTTGTTCCTCTGTATAGACAAGTGAAGTTCCCCTTATTACAAACATCATTTTGCTTAGAAGCCTTAGGTAGGAAATAAATTTTGTTAGAGATATGGGGAAATTACAGAAGGATACATCAAGTAGCAGAAAAGCAGGCTTAAACAGTCAATTCACAGTTGTGTCTACTGAATTTTATGATAATATAGGACTGCAGTCCTTTGTTTTATGATTATTTTTCTGGAAGCTTCCCTGTTTTACCCGATTAAAGGACCTCTAGTGTGTACTCCACTTCTTTTAAGGAAAACAAAAACGTGTTTTTATAAAACCTGTGAATTAAGACTTTGAACCTGCAGATGGTGCTATGATACTATTTTGAAATGGTTGTCCTTTCTTGTTAAATTTGTAGCAAAAATGCAGTTCTTTTATTTGGTTTAATTTTAATCAGAGGTAATAAGATTAAGTTTTTTTCTCTTTACTTTTGTGCTGTGTTTTTATAATCAGAGAAACCAACTTTGCTATTGGAAAAAATCTACACCAGTTTCTCTTCATGAAAGCTAAACACTGGCTTAGAGCAAATAATCAACTTTTATATCCTTTTCCTGCTTCTTGTCCAGTGTTGATTTGTCTGTGATGCCTAATCCACTTACTTTGCTATTGCTGATCTTAAACAAAATTGCTTCACTGAGAATTGGGTGACGAAGAACGAAGGAGAAAAAATTCCATACGAGAACCATTTCAACCTCTAGTTCATAATAATCAGTTAAAAAATATTTCCTGGAATTAAGCCACAGGAACTCTGGCTTAAGTCAGAGCTGTCAACTGGGGAACAAATTTCCAGACATTTTGAGATTTAATTCATTTAATTTTTCTTGTAACTGGATTAGAAAATATGATTAAGAATAGCAAGATACTCTTTTACTGAATCATTCTGACTCTATCCTGCAAAATGGATACCAAAATTTTAAAGTACAAGAAAGAAAGAGGGCTTTAGAGCTGTCATCCTCTGAGGAATGTGACCACGGAAATGTAGGAGAATAGATACCCTAGAGTTTTTTTTTTTTTAATAAAAGGGAAAGTATTTTGCTTTGTTTTCTATGAAAATTGTTGAGGTAGCTGCATTTTGACCTTAAACCCTGATTGAATGTATGCTAGGCTAGGCTACTCTGAGTTTAAATCCCAAAAATAGAAATTAAGCATTTGTCAAAGTACTCAAGTTCTTTCTAACTAATCTTTGAAACCGTACACTTACAAAGTGACTGAGTCAGGAACGGTCAAAAACTATCCGTGTGGATATGTGTATTGGGGGTGTAGAAAATGAAATAAATCTGCATAGTGCAATGACTTAGAAAACTGAGGATAACTTTTTAAGAGGAAGGAAAATTCCATCCTTGGGAGTATATTCTCTGGTAATTATTCTCGGATGGTTCAATATAGTGTATGTGAAATGCACTGGAAATTATGATATTTTATACAGCATATGAAATAGCAATAGTGATGTCACCTTGTACAATAGCATGCATATCATACTGTCCTAAAGTCTTCCTAAACTTTTCCCCTAGCATTATTTTCAACATAAAGGGAATGTAATGACAAAAACGTAAAAAACTACTTCTGGGCTGCTTTTAAAATAAGGATAGATTTCAAGAAAGACTAACTCAGGATCTATATGAATACTACAAAAAAATTAAAAAGGCAGCAGGAGAATTGATGCTTTATAACAAAGGAGAGTTACACATTCATGAGCACAGTGAACATAAGTGTTTATTGCTTTCTCCATTTGTTTAAGCATGAAGTCCTTATTTTTTAATGGAATCTCAGTGGCCCTAGCTATAACACTATGATCATTCTCTTAGTTCATTTTAACTAGTTAAAGATTAAGAATTTCGCATTAATGTTGATACTTTTGTTTTAAAAAGGTAAATTTCCTCTTTTTATCCTACTTCTTGAAGTTACTCACCTTAAATTTATATAAATCAGACATGACGACAATATAATACGAACTTCAAGACTTATTCATCCCGTGAGATTACCACTGTGACGTCTTTCAGAAAGCTTTGTGATTGCTCAGCCCTAAGTGCAAGCCCTATAAAACGAGGGACTTTGAAATGCTGCTCAGGGTAGAGTGCAGAGCTGTAGCTGGCAATAGCAGCCAATCCTCAGCCAGTACTGGGGCAGGGAACCAGTGGAGCCTTTCCTGGCCTTCCAGGACTCTTCACCCAGGACAGCTCCAACACTCCCAAGAAGACAAGTGTCCTGAGGAACACTCAAGGTAGGTGAAAACTTCCTTTCTTCCTTTTCCTTGAGAACTTTGAAACTTTTCTCAAGATATATTGAAATTCTCTCTCTCTTGAAAAGAATTTTACAGTGTTCCTCCTTTGCAACAGCAAAAAGACAAGGTTCTCAAGTCATCTGGTAAGAACAGAATATCTCAGTTTCTCTGATATGACTGGGTTTTCTGACTCCTTTTGTTTGGCAGATTCTTTATCCTGCTTGCTCCTTTACAAACTACTGATTCAGAAAACTAATGCATTGAAGTAGGTTTGCTTGTATACATATTTTTGATTGAGGGTTTGGTGAGGATATTTGCTTTTTAAGTTTTCAACTTAAATTTAAGTGCTCATTTTTCCTATTTTACACACTGAGTTAATGAACCTAGAAAGCATTTATTTCCTCTTCATTTAAACTTAAGGAATTTTTTAAAAACTTACAGAATTAAGTATAAATACTGTGATTTCTGTAAGGAGCCAGAAAAACAGAACTTGAACACCTAATTTTTTTATCCAGAAACTATTTAGAAATGAAATGTGCAAGTGTATTAAATGCAAGAAACACAAGCTTTGTTTTTAAATATATGTTTTTCCATTTATGGAAAAATTTGTTTCAATGACAATATGCTATTCAATGACTTTTGGGGTATTAATTTTCATTCTTAATTGAGCTAAGTTACTTAAACCCAGGCTTAATGAAATAAATTTCCAGTAATATCTATAATGAAGAGAGAAAAAAGAAATACATATGAAAATTCTTTTTCATACTGATATATATCTGTACATTATATCTCATATGCACACACAAACATACACAGACATGTGAATATAACTTGCCAGATTAGAAGAATTATTAAGTAGGCGATACCCCAGTTTTATAGTAGATACTAAAGCTTAAAGTAAAAAAAAAAAAAAATCAGTTTGCTGAAACTGTTTCCTTCATCAGAAAAGACAGTGAACTAGGATGTTACAACTCTGTTACAAAAATATTGTTTCTGGGGTCATTTCCAGCATGACATTCAGTATGTGCTTGGGCCAACTACATCCCTGGGATGAGATGGGCAACAGGACAAAAAGGATCTCCTAATGTTTATGGAAACATCTGTCACCAAAAGAAATCTTGATTGAACAAAAGTAATCATATTGCAGTTTAACTCTTTCTTGAAGATGAAAATTACTTTTTTCTCAGCTATGCAAGAGCCATCAGAAACACTATACTAGACTCTTCAGTCTTACCGTGCTGGTGACGGTGTGATTGGGAAAGCTGAAGTGATTCTCTCTTTTCAGAGGCACAGAGATGGAAGCCAGAAACAAGCCCCAACTCCTCCTATTCATGACACTTTTCAGTGTCCTTTTCTCACAGACATTGGCCTGGCCTCTTTTTGAATCACCTTCTACTCTGAGGTATGTTTCCTTCTGAGTCGAGTTCACATTCAATTCAGACAATTTAATACTCCTTTATCTAAACAGGAATTTCTTATATGCTATTTTGGATAGCTCAAGATTTTAAATTATGTACTATTTATTTAAGTATTTTGATTACTGTGGTGAGCAATTTACTCTCCAACATCTAGTCGACAAGCTCAGCATCCTGGAATTTGGCTTCAGGGTATGAAAGACAGTACCAGTGATCACTTTTACATGTATTGTGGATCCCATTTCCAAACACAGAGAGGAGGGATTTGACTTTCATGCAACACCAATGCTAAATACAGATAATTAATACACTATTATCCATTGTATTCTCAGCTCAGCTCAGTTTCTGTAAGAAAAATAATTGTTTAGTTGCCAACCTAAGTTTCATTTTTCAAGGTCATCAACAATCATGGCATTAGAAGTTTATTCATGAAAGACGCACAAAATCAAGTTGGAAGAAATCTATCTAGGCAAAATGATGTTGCCAATAAGAAAAAATTGAGGGGATAACTGATATACTAAGATGTATTGCCCTGTAGTATGCTTGGTTTGAAACAGAAATCCTTAGTTTTATTATTTGATGTGTTGCATTCTATATTTCAAATACATAAAGCACACCATAACTCATACTTAAACCTTTACCTGAAGTAAAATAGATTTAGATTAAATAAGTGAACAGTAAATTGAGACTACATTAGCTTGGTTTTTTCCTTCCAGTTTATAGGCATTCCTGTATCTAAAGGCAAAACCATCATTTGTTTGCTTATTTGTCCATCCCTAATTCTTTGCTTCGAGTAGACTTATGCTCAACAGAGTGAATAATTTCTCAGTTATTAGTGTTCTCTGGGAGATTAGTTTGTAGTCATCTGTTAGTTGCTCTGACAACTAGATAGCATAGCTCTATCTGAATGGTCATATCATAGCAATGGACAATCACAAGAATATTGAAGTTAGCATTAACTGCTAGCAGTCAGCTTTGTCATCACCAGAAGATACAAAAAAAAAACCAAAAAAACCCAGGAGCTGACACTCCCAGAGGTTTACCTGCAGTAATGGTGAAAATATATACAAACATGATTTTAATAGTGTGTGGGTGTTAAAATGTGCACTTTTCCATAAACATGGTCATATTGCATATATAATTAGAATTCTTAGTCTTGCAGTATGACATGGTACACCCCTTGTTAGCGTTGTGTTAATATAAAGAATTAGAAGCCAGAGGCCCACAAAATTCACCGAATTTGAGTAACTATCCATAAATGAAATGATTCTTTGGGTTCAATCAACACAGAGAAATATATCATGCCAAAGTAAATCCTTAAATCAAAGCTCAAAGGCCTTAGAGAAAGCCAATGACTACTTAGTTCTTGAGAGTTATTTGGGTCAATTGATGCTAAATGTCACCAAATATTTGAATCACAGATAGTTTTAATATGGAATATTTGACTTTTTTCCAAGTGTGTGTGTTGTATAAAGTCTGTCTACTTGCTAAGTTTGACTTGGCAAAGTGAAAATATTCTTGGTGTATTCTTGCCAGTAAGTATTTTGCTTAATACTTTGATAGGATTGAATTAAATAGCACTCATGTTTAGTACATGTAGCTTATAAAATTTGGATAACTTATTTTTAAATGAGATTATGGAAGAGTTAACATTTATACTCTCATTAAAGAACCCACTAAATCAAATTATCCTGTTCCTATGTGGTGAATGGGTGAGATTTCCCAAGATTTTGAGATCTTTTTCAAGGTGCTGAAAAACCATGAGCATTAGCTTCTGAGAAGGAACTATGTTTTACTTCTAGTGCATTTTCCTCTGTAGGTTGGATGACAGCGTACAGTTAGAAGGAGCAAACGAACCTGATGAAGATTCATTAAAAGCAGACACTGACATCCTGCAAAGTGCATTAGCTGAAAGTGACGCACCCCATGATGATGTATCCAGGTGAGTTTATTTCTTATTGCTATTTTTATTTAGAACATACATTTTAGAAATGTAAAGATCATAGTTTTACCTAGATGTTAGTTTCACTGTGACACTATTATTATTTCATAACACTACAGATTCCATGTGAAATGGATCCATTCACATGAATATACCTGTTGTAACAGCTACACAGGATTTTCGTGTAGAGAGGTTATAACAAGCTAGGATGAACTAATCATTTACTTACATTCTGTTGCATTTGTTTTCAGTATCACAGATTGTACCAAAGGTTCCCTGATTGAGGAGGTACTAAGAGATCCATAATTATGTAAAGAAAAGTCTAGTCTAATACTTATAGCTGTTCATTTATAGAAATGCTAAGTAACTTTACAGTACAGACCAAGTACTCCACTCCAAACACAAAGTATAAAGTTACTCATTTGCTTGATAGGCCCTAAGATCTCCTTTATCTCAAGAGGTTTCTTTCCAAATACTTTAGTAGAAAAAATAATAAAAGATAAAGTGTGCTTGTGAACTTGCCACAATCAGCATATTTTTCAATTGTATTTATTTTCGTTTAGGGTAAAATAAAAAAAAGCACCATGAATATCTAGAAAACTAAAAACATATTTTTCTTTTCACACCAACATTTCTTAGAAAGGGATTAGTTTTAAACATTCTACCAGGGAATGATAATGAAATATATTTCTAAGACACCTCATTTCTTTAATGGTTTAGACTTGATCTAGAGAGATCTAAGTGACTCTCTTTTGTGACAGTGTTAGGAAACCTCCTTTCAATGTAAGTTTTAATGAGCAGCTTCTAAAATGAGCTGGCAAATGTCTTTGTTATTTAGTCAGCTAGAATAATATTATATAAAATAATAATTGTCCTTGCTTCCTTATTTTAGAAATGCCAGGCATGCTGATGGAGTTTTCACTAGTGACTTTAGTAGACTCCTCGGTCAACTTTCTGCTAAAAAGTACCTTGAGTCCCTTATTGGAAAGCGAGTTAGGTAAAGAAAATTTATTATTTTTATTGAACAAATTATCATTACTCAATCTGAAAATTATATTGTTAGTAAGTTATTTAGCTTGTTCTAGCTGACAAGTCTTTGATAATGTTCAATTTACTTAAATAAAACATTGTATATTCTTTAGTAAAATGTATCAGGTCCACGGATTAAGAAAGTATGGCTTTTTATAAATATCATATTCATTTATTCCAGACATACTTATTTTTCTTAAGTCCCCATCATTTACAAATCTGCAATCGAATTAAACTAGACTCAGTAGAAAATGTTCGGAACCTTGGTGCATTTGCTGCTACCTGTCAAAGTCTTTGATTTCCTTTTTCTCACATTCTCTAGCAGTAACATCTCTGAACACTCTGCACCAATGAAACGACACTCGGATGCAGTCTTCACTGACAACTACACCCGTCTTAGAAAACAAATGGCTGTCAAGAAATACTTGAACTCAATTCTGAATGGGAAGAGGAGGTACAGAAAAAAGAGAATCCACTAAAATGATAAACTATAAATAACCTTCAAATTTTAAGCTACATATGGAGACCTCCTATTGCTCTGTCACACTACCTACACTATGCAAAATACTCATTCTCAATCATGGCTGCTTTAACCTACCCTGGGGAATTTTTAAAATACTGATGTCTGGTCATTACCCATGAGCAATTACCAGGAAATCACTGCCTCTAGGGGTGCAACTAAGAGACTAGAGTTTTTGAGAGCTCGCTAGTTGATTATATTGTCTCTTCAGAGTTAAAATGATGGCTAGTCTGCAGCTGGGAACAGGTTTTATCAAAAGTGTCTTTAAGATTTATCCTTAGATTCTCTTTATTATGTTCATTTATTTTTAATTTAAAATATTTTTATCATCATATTATTGTTGCAAAAAATATGAAGTGCTTTACAAATTTGCATGTCATCCTGTGCAGGGGCCATGCTAGTCTTCTGTTTATTGTCTAATTTTAGTGTTTGTGCTGCAATGTGAGCACAAAAACTTTGATTTTTAAAGCACTAAAATACTCTGGTTTCTCTTCAGATCATATAAATCTTTCACCTTTAAAACACACAAGTGCAGTTAGCAATTTGCTCATATATGGAACTCCCTTCATCTGCTTATTCAACGCCTTAACTTTATTAAATTTAACACAAACACATTTTGTATATTTGAGTTCTGCAACCCGTGTTTCTCTCTGCTGTGTAAATATTGGACACAATCAATACATAAGGAGTGGAGTGCTCTCTCTTTTTAATTCCAGTTATTTTTGTGTACATAATGAGCATCAAGGATAATTCTGTTGGGGTGAGATCAAACAAGACTACTCTCTTTGTCCATTAAATGATAATTCTGTCAGAATAATTTTAGACACCAAGATTGAGGAACACTTCATAGGTAATGACCAAATAACCAGCTTCAAAGCTGAGTGTTTAGCTCCAGTGCATTCTGTAAAGCATGGAGAGCAGCCTAGACATTGTGTTGTAATTGTTTCTTTAGAAACTTTCTCGACTGAAAGCCTTAACGTGTGCAATTTCCTTCTTCCGGTCTGTAGCAGCCAGGGAGAATCTCCCAACGTCCCTAATGAACAAGAGAAATGATGAAGAAGCCCTTTGGAGCAAAGCTGATTACAGCGGTGAGTGTGTTGGTGTATTCTTACTGTATTCTCACAGCTAACACCCAAGTGTGTAAGGAAGAATGACTTGGTTTCTCACCAAGTGACCTTATCTCATTTAGTGACCTTATCTAAGGACACCTCTGCCTGAGGTGGACCCCATCCCAGTAAACAGCCACCTTTTGTTCACATAAAAGAGACTCTCACTATGAGCAGTTTGGTGTCTGAGTGCTGCTGGTAGTTTATTCAGCCTTTCTCCTATCCTTGTGCTGAGATTAAAAACAACAGAGAAAGCTGACTCCCACTCGTAAGATAAACTGGCTTTATTTTTGAGAATAAAGCCATGTTGCTTTTATTAGTTTAAGATTTAGTCCCATGATTGTCTGTTAGCTCTCCATTTAGTAAGTACAGAAAAATATCACCAAATAGTTTGTTGTTTTGAAAACATCAAGGCACTCCAGGTATAATTGTATTCCTCGATATATAGCAAACTTCATGCAATAAAAGTCAAAATTTGACCTATGAAGTGACTGTAAGCCGAATAACCCCAATTAGATTAACTGTAAAATATTTTTTCAGTAGAGAAAGCATGCACAGATTATTTTTTCTTTTGTGAAGTGGTAAGATGGTTGTCAAGATTGCTTTTATATGAACATGGATGCAAGACACATTCTTTCCTGAATTATGTGAGCATTAATGTTTATATTAGCTCATACAAATCTATTTATAGAACTTGGCAAGTGCTTAATGAAATTTCATGTTATCACCATCTCAGAAGTTAGCAAATTTTTCTCTAAAGGGCTAGGGTGCAAGTGTTCTTATCTTTGTGGGCTATCTGGCTTCTGTTATTATAAGGCAAAAAGCAGCCATAGATAAGAAAGTTGTAAAATGAATGGGAGTAGTTGTTCCAATAAAACTTTATTTATAAATCCTGAAGGTGGGAGGGATTCCAACCCCTGACTAGGTCAAGGAGATTAAAGTCATCCCATACTCAGGCTAAAGGCAATTCACAATCTCACCTCAGTTCCTGGTGTGGTTATCTAAGGTTATCAAAAGAGTTATCAAGCATGGACAAGGTATTTGGAAGTCACTTGTCCTATTAGTTACTTTTGTCCATTGACGACATTAACCCTTCATCACTAAGAGAGGTGTGGAGTCAAGAGCTGCCTGCAGTGCTTTGTCACGTGTAGACATTTGAGAGAAACAGCCTCTTCTCAAAAACGAAAACTAATCACGTCCACTGCTTGAGTATGTTTATAAGAAGCCTTCTCCACCAAATTTAGAACTATGATAGGCACTAAGGCAAATGAATCTTTCCATTCCTTATAAATTGTAAGATCATTTATGAGATCCCATCTTTGTTATTTATGAAAGGGTGGCATTTGACTTGTTCTTTAAGTAGGAAATCCTGTGGGCTATTCATTTGTGACATGTGCAAAGGTATAAGTATTAATCACTAATTAGAGAGCCTTTCACATTATCACAGTTCCTTTGTGAAAATTGGGCTTCTAGAAGGTGCTCTCTTGATTCTGCCAGACATAACCCCTTTGTCATAGGCTTTTGGCAAGGGACAAAGAGAAATATATATTTACCAAGTGAGTGACTTTGTGAATGAAACCAAAATGATGTAAATAAAAATGCTATGTTTAATTCATTTATTTTTTTCTTTTTCAGAATTCTTGAAGGAAAATGATAAACAAAAAGTAATTACATTTTGAGTTCTACATAACTAATTCAAGAAAACAACTTTAATAGCAAAACCAAATAAAATATATTGTGCTGTGAATGCTGTGATTTATTTTGTTCTGGTGTAATAACTGTGATGTTTACATTGTAAATATTATTTGAGAGTTCTACAATTTGTCTTTAGCTCATGAAAGGTCTCTAATTTCATATGCTACATATTCTTTCAAAAATATATTTAATGATGAGTAGATGATAGGTTAATTCCAATTACATGATGCTTTTTGGAAGAGTAGCAATAGAGGAAAATTGATGTGTTTATTTATAGAGTATAGCTAACTATTCAGAAGAATAGAACAGATAATCAGAGTGTTTAAATTTGAATGCTAAGCAGATAGGGTGCTTAACATGTGTTAAGTAAACCTCAAATATCTAACAGAATACCAACAACAAAGGTAGAAAAGACATTCTTCCAAAATGACTTTTGGAAAATTCTGTTTTCCACATTTATAGGGACCTTTATCTCTAAAGGGATTAAAAATCTCTCAAATTAGGATCTGTAATTGCCAAAGGCTGTCACTTCAGGAGAATGACCCATATGTCATTTGACTTTGAAACTTCCTTTAGGCTTGTGTGAAAAGTATAACCTGAATGGAGGTCATGTTTTCCAGGAATAAATATTTTTTCCATAATCACTCAGAATTATGCTTGGTAATATCAGTTTCCCTCAGTGAAAGCACATTTGGAGACACAACTATTTTTCCAAAATGATTGTAAGAAATTAAATAGCAAAAATAAAGACCTTTGATTATCACTGCAGATTGTTTTTGCTATGATTTTTTTGAATGACTGTGCAGTAACTCATTTTAGCTCTAAAGTTCCCAGGCACTAGAAAATTTTTGTGACTTTTTGGTAGGATTGTATTTGATTGTGTGTGAGTCCTACAATAACAGTGACCACAATAAGAGAGATTTTTTTCATCACAGAAGACTCAGGGAAAGATGTCAAGGGCTGGTGTGATCATCTGCTCCAGGAAGCATTGGGTAATCTATACCCTTTCCAGACCATACCTTATTTCCTAGGATGGATCCCTTATCCTCATGATTCAAACTCGTTCCAGCCACAATATCTGAATTCTAAGCAGCAGAATAGGGGAAGGGGGATGGAAAAGAGGAGCAAAGCGTACATTCAGGTTCTGGTTCTCCTTGACCTGATATCTTACACTAACATTTAATTGGCTAGAACCTAGTCTTATGGCCATAATCATTTTCAAGAAAGCCTGGGAAAGTGGCTGCTGTTTTTCTGGGGACCATGCATTCATCTTCAAACTAGGACTCCATTAATATAAAGTAGTGGAAGAATATATGTATGTGGGTTTTCACCTGAGCAACTTAAAGGATAGAGTCGCTCTTAGCTAAGATGGAGAGACATGGGAGGAATGAGGTTCTAGGGGAATGAGGAGTTTAGTTTGGGACAGGTTAAAGCAGATGTTCAGTAGGAAGTTGGAGACATACATGAGTTCCAAGGAGACAGACAGTAGTTGGGAGATTCCAGTATATTGATGAGGATTGAATATAGCAAAACAGAGACAAAGAAAAAGGAAACAATCTCAACACATGATCCCTGGGTGGTTCATTGTCTAAGGTTGTAAGAAAGTACCATGGACAGGGTGGCTTACACACAGACATGCACCGTCTTGCACTTCTGGAGGACAGAAGTCCAAGATCAAGGTGTTCCAGGCCTGGTTCCTGCTGAGGGTTGTGAGGAAGAATCTGACCCAGATCCCTCTCCTGGTGTCAGGTGGGTTTTCTGGTAATCTTTGGCTCTCAGGACTATCATTGATTTCTGCCTTGATCCTCATCTAGATTTGTTCTCCCTGTGTGTATCTGTCTCTAAATTTCTCCTTTTTTTTTTTTGGGTGGTGCTGGATCAAACCCAAGACCTGCAATGCTTCTATCTTCTCTCCCCAAGTAGCTGGAATTCTAGGCATCCACAACCACACACGGAGTGTTCAATATTTTGAAGGAGCTTGTTGAGGTTTGCAAATGCTTATGCTAAATGCTTCACTGTGAAGTTTCTTGGTAGTTCTTTTTCTTCTGAGGTTTCCTTTCCTCTTGCCTCTTTCTCAGCTATGCATTTCTGCTCCAATTCCAACAACTGCTTATTAGTAATTTCTCAGAAGCCACTTCTAAGAACTCCTCGATGTCATCTTCATTCACTTTTAGGTTAAAGTTCCTGACCATTTCAACCACAGCCTTATTTTTTTGTAGTCTCCTCATCCTGAATCTCAGAGTGGCTTCTTCCAGATACTATTTATACATTCCTTGTAGACATCATCCCTAGCCCAAGTAGGATTCTTGATGAAGTCATAGATGTTCTAATCCTTCCAGAATGGAATCAGTTTCTTCTCAGTGTCATCCTCAGTTGCAGCAGTAGCCTGGGCAAAGGTCTTCCTTGAGTGATAGGCTGTAGGGATTACTATAATTCTTTGATCATTAGTTAGAACAAAGACATGGTATTTGAAGGAAGAAATGTCACATTGCTGCTGGCATAAAGATTACTAATAAAGAGAATTGTAGGAAGCATTACAAAAATAAGCAAAATCTTGAAAAGTATGTTAGTCTCCAAAAGGACTTCTTCCATTTAATTGGCAGAACAATACAGGAAGGCGTCTTAGAAGAGGAGAAGAGCCATTCTTGACTTTTTATTGCTCATGTAGTACACTGAATTATATATATACTGATGCATTATGCATCTACAGTGAATACTCAAGGGGTTTTCCCTGTGCCAAGCTACCAGGGGCGATAATTTACAGCCTGCAACATTGCCCTCAAGTAAAACTGATATCCTGTTCTTAAAGCATTCAGACCTGACACTTACTTAACATTCTAATGGTTGAAATTCCTTTCAGGCATCTGTTTCTAGAATAGGGAGCTTTTATCCATAATGAAAATTGGCTTTGGCATATAATTTCCCTCCATAATCAGTCACACTCTCATCACATTTTGTGGGGTTAGGACTTCCACATATGAATTTTAAGAGGACTTGGTTCAGCCAATAGCACCACTGATACTGGGTCTAGAGCAAGAGCAAGAGCTGCAATGCTTCTTAATGTTTTCTACTATCAAATGTTTATCTAAGAAAGAAATCTTGTAAGATATCACAATATTTTGGGATATAATAATAACAACCCATGCATCCATACAATGTTCTTTTTTTTTTTTAACAGAAAATCTCTGCCACTTTTACCACAGGAAAATCCTTACTTTTGCTATAATAATGATTAGTCATTATTATTTTAAAACGTAAAATGA